GTTCAGGTTAACGTTGTTAAATAGTGTATATAGTTGACATCCATTCACGATATACTATCTATCGGCGGTATGGCGCTGACGAGCACACGTGAACTGTGAGTGAACTACACATTTCAAGAGCTGCCTCGACTCTGTAGAAATAACATAAGTTGTGAAGCTGCTGGTTGCTTTCCCCTCGTGAAACCCTCTCGGTAGCCCGAGTAAAGGTCAATATTTACCGCTAGGGGACTAGAATCGATTGGCTTGCACGGCTCTCCAATTTACAAGATTAAAAAGGCCGAATATGATATTACTCCGAATGCTTTTCAAATTAAATTGTTTCTGGGTCATAGTGATCGCCTGAATTTCAAACAACTTTGCCATCTCCTTCTTTTTAGCTCTTTCAGCAATTCAGCCGTAAACAGGTCTTGTTTTCGTTAGGGATTTTTCCTTTGTTTTGGTTTTCAAACTCTTTTCCATGGGTTTTGTACACGTTTGTTCTTTCACCCATACACTTTGGCACGTAAGACGTGTCATGTAATTTCAAATCTGCCTTTATCTAGAGAACTAAAGGTCCGATTAAGTGGTAACTTGGTGTTGTAGTATTGTGCGTTATACATGATATTCATTTAGTGACATTTCAACAACAGACAAAACCGCTGCGTTCGTACACGAACACATTTCTAGTTTTTCATTCTTTTCCCCCTCTTTCTTTAATTAAGTCTTTTCTTAAATGGTCTGTAACAACGAAGTATCTCTTCATTGTGGCACATCATAAGAAAAAGAACAAAAGATAACTACTTAGGCCTATAACACCACAACATACGGACAATTATTTTGCCAAGCAATTTGAGAAATGGAGGTCAAATCTGTCATTCATCACCTTCACCTTGGCAACACCTTAATGCACATTTTTGTTTATCAAAGCACTAGTGAATTCTGCCGAACGTTGTACACTTATCAGCTGTTCTATTTTATTCCACAACACTGCTTCTTATGAGCTTTGCAATTAGCCAATGATCTAAGAAGAGATTGAACGGTTACGCCTCCCCTATCAGCACCTGTTATTACCCGTTAATGTACCACAGTCCATATAGTGTGGTACGCGTCAAAATATATTTCGACTAAAATCCTTTTATTTTGTTGTTTTTCAATTACATCAACCCGATTTTGTCATATTTACCACACAAACGCAATCAAGAGTAAATGCACATATCCAGGCTATTACATGACACGAGGCATGAGATTGAGAGATATTACGAAACATTTGAGGAACAAAGAATAAAAGAGTTTCACAGTTGACCATCTGAACGTATTGTACGAGACAGTAACAGCAGACAGTTACTGAAACTTAACGTCATTAGGCATGATATATACATGGCTAATTCATTCAGCGACAAACCTATGTTATATATCTTTTTTTTCTGAAACAAAAGTCCAATCAACGATTGTCCAGCAGAATTCCTCAAGTCTTCTCTCCCTATCGTGTCGCACCCGGTTGCGTTTGCATTTCCCGCAAAATCGCAATCCTGCCCCGTGTCAATCGAAACCGTACGCGTCAAGCGTGTTTAATACGGGCCATCCACCGCATCGCGCAAGACATACTTTCCACGCAAGCGATTCCACGTGTGTTCATCAGAACCGACTGCATGGACGATACAGAGCTCTCCAGGGCTGTATACAGCAGCGTCGGCCGCGCGCAAATAAACTAATATGATCCGCTCCACCGAACCATTCACTGCGTTTCATCATTGCTCTCTTACGGGCACTTTTTTTGGCGGAAGATCTTCTATTGATGAAGTAGGCACGCACTTCAAGCTGATGGTAGATTTTAAGAAGGCCCGATCCCTGAAAACAGGAAGCGGCTATTCTTCTACTGTGTCCCCTGAGCTTCGTGTCTTAAATTTACGCTGTATGGGATAAATTAGTGAAATAAAGGTCAAAGTGATTTTGGTTAAAGAAAGATCTAGACATGAGATGCTTGTTTATTATAGTGGACTTCCATAATTGATGCACTTGTTCTGTTGCCTTCTGACTTTCCTCATGCAATGTTTCAAAATCTCTTTGTAGACCAGATTCAAATTTATTCAGTTAAATATTGATCTTATAAACTTAATACAAATTTGTATGGCAACTTTCTGAGCAATGGTAGTTTGTAAGTTGAAAAGGTCGATGATGAAAAATTGGGCACAAAATTCAGGTGAGACGTCCTTAATGTGGCACACTCAGAAATCCCAGACATTCCCAAGTGATCGGTTATCTGAAGTTTACAAGTTGTGATAAAACATCATAATATGATATAATGTGTGATTTCCAACCACAAAATGGCAGAAGATTATTGTCTTATTTTGGCCGCATTTTTAAGACTCGAGTATTCACTTCCGCCTGTTTATAATTCATCTCGAATTTTGTTACGGATCAGCGAACTGAAGATTGACGGGTGAAAGAGTTTTCCATTATTTTACATCCTTTGAAATTTGGGGAAAATGTTTTATATGCAAGGTGCTCGTAGAGAAATGTATGGTGCGTACAAGTAATGGGCTGTTTCACGTTAGGGGACAAAGTCAACAAATACAAGCTTAAGAAAAATGGTTTGCACGATACAGACGTAGTTTTAACAATCGTGGCAAAAGAACGTTGCCAAACCAAAGTTCCTTTTCTTCCACCTAACTGTTTATTTGTAATAACCAAAATGTTGAAACTAAAACGGGCACTAAATCTTCAAAACCCGATCTTGCTTTTGTAGTGGGGCAGAGAGGGGAAATATTTGTTGGAATTGTGCCTTTGATGATACAAGCATGGCATTTTGGTACACAGTCAGACTATGTCATGAGAAAGATACTTTTATAGATTTTCAAAAGTTTCAAAATGGCTGCCATTGCTTGTTATTCTATCTATATTTCGTCGGTCGCACCACGAACCGGCGTATCTCGATTTTTTTGCCAAATTGAGTTTTTGTCATTAACTTTATTATTTCATCAAAGTGCTCATTCTCAGAAATTTTTATTCCGATCGGAGTTCTAATTAACTAAGAACGCTAATTAGACTGTGTGGAGTATCTCTAAAAAATGAAAAATGCTGCACCACGAAGTGGCGTATCCCGATACGCCACTTTACACGCTAATTCCCATAGTGCTATGACGTCACAACGGCGCGTTAACATGAAAAATTGGAATTTAGCGTTTCACGAACCGACGTATCTCCGTATCTGGCACACGGCCACTATTACGCGCGTTGTATGACATACGATAAACATGATAAAAATCTGTTTCACGAAGTGACGAATAACTTTGGAACTGAATTTCTCAAAAACTAAGCAACTCAGATGCACACGGATTGCATACAATAAAGTTCAATCTATAATTTAATAGCAAAAACGAAACAGTTTGAATTCTTACACAGGGAATATATGGAATGAGCCTACAAATTAATGACCAACTTTAAATCGGTTTTTCTCGAAACACAAAAAAATGCGATACGTCGGTTCGTGGTGCAGCCGACGACTTTTTTAAGGACAAATATGTGATGGCCCCACAGCCAAATATCTTTGTCATGACATCCTCTGACTGTGTGCCAAATGCCATGCCTGTATCATCAAAGGCTCAGTCCCATTACCTATCTGACGTACTTTTGGTGTCATTTTGATTCAGTGAAACCTGGATGGGATGTCCCTACTAATTACGGATTTCCTATAAACTTCCGTCAAATGAGAAAATCATAATTATGGTTTAATTACAATCCTTCCTTCCATCGGTTGTGCAAAGACACATATTTAACCAATTTTCGATTTTCTTATTTGACATTCAAAACCATTCGAAACAAATGACGACAATTTATAATGTATCAATGAATTTATGCACAATAGCGTCAAAACAAATGATGCTTCCGGAACCATTTTACGAATAATGAGAGTAAGAGAATATACTCTCATGTAAGACAATCTCTTCGAAGAAAATAAAATAATTGAAACCAGGACCATCTACGACATCGGTATCCCTAATTGGAGAATCTGTAAAAACCATCTGATTTCGCGGCATGGTTTGTGGATCAACTCCATTGTAAATATCCCAAAAGGGATCTGTAATACATACCAATTACTATGATGACAATAATAACAATGGAGGACATGCAGCACATACCGTATTGGTATATAGGAAGTGATTAACATGGCCAGACTGCGGATGTGAGTATCCCTCTCTGTTTATCGTATCAGTTGAACTTCGTGGTCTCATATGAAGCACTATTATTTTCAAGATGTGATTTTTGCTTCGGGCATGAAAAAAACAAACGTAAACAGGACTTAAAGACCTTTCTTTCTGGTTGGGAAGACAACGGGTAATGCAGAGTGTTTGCCACATACAGTTCAGTGTAGTTTCTGAAATACGACCAGTAGATTATACGTTTTTAATTTACTTTAAGCCTGTTGTATTTTAAGTGATGAGGACAAACCTTAAGAGGGAAAGGCATGATGAAGACATAAGCAGTATCCGATAATGCACTGATACCACTAAAAATGTGCATAGCATTTCAAACAGGGCTATTAAATCGCTCAGTATCGTTCGCTCCGTTTCGAAAGTTTTGATTGGCAACAAGACCCGTGGACTGAAGAAAAATAAATCGGGGACAGGAGTGGGTCTCTATACCCATAGTTAGTGAAGAATAATATGTCTCCATTAACTGCAAAATCTCTTATCTCTTTGCCATTCATACGATTTTAACGCTCTTGCTGTTAGACCTAGTCCATACTTTCGCCAGAAGTTTTGTTTTATCAGATGTGGCGTATCAAGGTTTCCGGTGGAGGATGAGGAATTTGTTTCTTCTGAAGAATGGTGAACATTTGGGAAGGTTACCCCTATACAAACAGCGATTGTGAGATGCTGTACGTTTTCATTTCATATATAAAAAAATTTTTTTGAATGAATAAAAGAATCGGCATATTGATGCCATGGACCCCCCCCCTCCCCACACACCCACACACTTTTCCGCTGGATATACGCAACTGTATTATCATCTGTGCTTACCACTTCCACTCGCCCGATTTCCGGTACCGAAAGGTGATGTAGGCCTCGAAGTACAGGAGTCCGTTCATGGCCACCAGCAGCCACCACGTGGGGTCCTCCTTGACCGTGGCGACCCTCCAGACCGAGATGATAGACGACACGGAGAACAGGACCCGGACGAACACGCCTTGCGCCATGGTGAAGATGCGACCGACAGAGTACCTCTCGTCCGTCTTGCTCTTACCCTGCCCCTTTCCGTTATCCATGGCCTTTTCCTTCTCTTCCATTCTGCTGAGCACGAGTTTTTTTTTCCTCCTCGGTCCTTTTAATATCTTTCAAAGATGTTATTCTTCACACCCTGGCGGGTAAAGGTATTGATGTATGTGACTGCAAATTACTTGTATCACGGAAGCGACACTGAAAGAAAATTAAAGCCAGCGAACTATCGACAAAGTAAGATTTCAAAAGTCTAGAGATTCCTTGTTTTAAAAATTATATTAAAGAGAGGAATACAAAGGCAGAACACAGCCCAGTTATACCGCTTTTTCACAAAGTTTCCGGTGCTTATCGCAACGGTTGCAAAGTATTTGCCGTTCCGAATGTCACTTTTGGCGAAGTCACAGTAGGATGATCCTGTTAAGACCGCTCATCGCCCACGACTGATGGATAAAACATCCAAACTGTTGAATCCCTGTCGTCACCTTCTTGCCCCGGCAGAACGGTGCGCATGCAGCCTCGACCCATGAAAACAAATATTATTCCACGAGGGAACTTGAAAAGGTTGAGTTTGTCTCGCTATCAGCCCGTCACGCGAGATGGTCCGTGTACTTAGTCTCTTCCGCTCTGCAAACGGCGAGTGAGACGTTCGTCCAGCGAGGACGGCAAATTAACTTAGAATGCTTCGTGTGCCTGGGCGTGCGTCGCTGGTATAAACACGCTCTTGCCACTCAGCCGTGGCTACTGTGAAGTGCGCCACACGCAATGTGAAAGCTGCAAGGTAGACTTGATTGATGCTCACCACGTCCCATCAAATCTCGCTTATTGTGAGAGTGCGCACCCCCTAAGCGTTTCTCAACGTAGCGCTAGACGATATTTGATCAAGTTCACTCGTCAGAGGATTTTGAAGGGGGAAGGAAGCACTGACACCAGGTCTAATTCATTTTACTGTTGATAGATGGAATCTCAACAAAATGCTGCTGCTAATCATTCTGTCAAACGCCACACACGTGTTCGCACTTTACAAATATCATCATGCATGATTCAGGGTGAGACTTGCAACGCCATTCACGCAATAAATGTTGAGCAAACTGTGGTAAAAAATATACAAGGTTTTTTCGGAAACTGTTTTAATGTAACTTAATATTAATGATAAACCAGTCATCTTACCTCAATTGCGTTTATCACGATTTCTCGTCACGGCAAAACTATTTCTAGTGAAGCACATTACCGTAGCGGTAAACTCAACTTAACCTTGTTATTGTAACATCTCACCATGTCAATGACCTAAACACACGTCATAGATAATATACCTCATTGGCAATTCATACGCATCCAAGCTTGGTGCGTTGCACCGGAAGGGACATGGCCTCTGAATCATGAATAGTTTATCACCGAAAAGGACATCTCCCCCCCCCCGGCGCCCCAAGAAATTAAAATATAGAACAGTGCTCCTGAAATGTTAAAAAAATATTATGTCCAATGTATTTAAATATATCCTGCGTGAACTTCACATCATACTGATAAATAAAAGTTTCTTTTGAAAGCGTCTCCGTTTAGCATTTTTTTGCAGTTTTCATTCGCTCTTGTTGTTCATCAACAGCTTGAAGACTTACACCATGCTTGCAAAATATTTCTCTTCGTCGTTTCGTTCGTAGTGACGGCAGGAGACGTGCAGCCAGTCTATCTTGGCAAGAGCCCGGTCGAATGAATGAAACCATGCATCAATAACGAACTGCTAATTGCAAGTCCGCAATGCACAATGCTTAAGATCTGGGCTTATTTGAAAAGGCGAAGCTAGTCATCAATGTATTTACTCTTCTCCTCATAACCCTGTCGTCAAAACCTACACCAACGCGTCCCCTGGGAATTAAGACTAGGCAACAACCTGTCATTTGTCGTCCTTAAAACACATTTTGTTCTTGGTATCAAACCGATGTTAAGCCCAATAGTAATCAGTTCGGCTTTGTGGGCATGCCAAAAGCCAGTCACTGGAACGAATGTGCATTTTATTACCCAAGACAAAAAATTACAGTTTAGAGGGATAGTGTAAATGTGGATTTTATCGTCCTCGACCACAATTCATTAAAATTCAATCCACATTCAACCGTGAACATGTCTTCTTGGCTGTTAAAATCGATAGCTTCTTTCAAAATGACCAACAGTACACACATAATATTTAGACGAAAGCGGATATGTTTCTAGGCAACCTCTTTCCAACAAACACTGTAACTACACAGCAAAAAAAAAAAAACTGCGACGGACAAATAACACTTAAGGTGTTGAGTTTAATTTTCTCGGTATCTTTATAGGACAATATCTTACGGTTTTAACTTCCACCAACTTTCGGCGTTAATTTAGTGCAACACAAAGCCAGATATCGGTGTTAGTTTTAAATACAATTGGATTTTGAACGTACATGTATTCGCCTCTGGTGCCAATGTTGCTTAATACCTTTAATTAACATCAGACCTAGGCGTAGGGTTTGACACAAATTCCGATATCTTTTTAATATTTTGTTGAGAATTATATTTTCCCCCGGTACATACAAGAACACCTGGTGTTAATTGACACTAATATTTTGAGTATTATTTTTTAACACCTATGTTAGTGACCAGCTATTTTTTGGACAGCAGTATTAGATTAATTTCCCAGATTCTAGGACTAGTACTTTAGTCCTAGGTGAATCTAATACTGTGGAAATAATTTCAGATCCATTCAATATTGGTCAGGGACCTCATCACTTTTCAGGTAGCTGTGAAAAACTCAAGCAGTGTGCCGCGTGTTTTCAGTTTCCAAGATGCAATTCCAAAGAAATGTATTCCTCATATAGCCTATGACTTGAAGCTTTGCAGGGTGGATGAGATAAAGTAGAAATATTGCGGGTAACACCCATGTGGAAAGTAATATCTTCTTGGTTGATCGTATAACTCGACGTTTCGGACAGTGTGCTCTGTCCGTCCTCAGGAGGGTGAGTGATGAAATGTGGACGATGCTTGAGGTTTAATGGCTGTGCGTGTGCCGTGGGGTGTATTATTCATTATTTAAACACATGCGGCCCAATCACATTGCTGAAACATCGCGCAGCCGCACTATGATACTTTTTTTTCTTTTTAATTGACACTAACTTTACACTGAGTCTATTCAAGTATAAATTAAATGGTCATTTTGAGAAGAAACACTTTCAACAATTTCTCACCGATCAATTTCTTTTCTTCAAAAGATATACAGTCCCGATAAATTGACAAGCCAGATGATCCCCCATAAAAACAAGGTTAAGCTGTATGCATGTTTCACCATCTGTATGAATGTATTATCGGGTGACGTGCACATTTGTTTCGGTTGTTTTTTTTTCTCGGAAATCGCATGTCGAAATGTAACATCTCGAAAACAAATCAAAGTCTAGTTTCGTGGAGTATGATAACTTTTCGTCTATACCGCCGCCAACGTAAACAAGGCCTGCCACCTGGTCTGAATAAACAAGAAAGCCTTCATTGGAGGACTCTTCATTTGCTCAATTTCACCCAATCTCGAGTCTCCACACAAGCCCCTCAATCGCCGTTCCTCGGCCGTCTTTCAAGATGATGAGTGTGTATCAAAGGCGGGTGAGGACGGGCCAATGGGGGCCGTGATTGAGTAGGGACATGATTGCCAGCGTTGGCTTCATAATGCTTGGACCCATAGACAAGGAATTAATCAAGATCATAATTCTGCTGGAACCGCGATATTAATCTGGCGTAGGCGCGATGCATCATTCATCGGTCTTTCATACGCGGGCGACAACAGAAGAGTAACTATATGGAGAGGCATGATGCGAACGCGGCAGTGACAGCCTTTATTCCTTTACACTTCAATTCCAGCACGGACAGCAGCGACCATGCCGTCTGCAGCCGCTGGGCATCGGCTAACCGTTTTGACGGTTTTTGTGTCCGGACCACGCTTTCCATTCTTCGCCATCGCTCGGGGGTGATGAATCTTGCTTCCATTGATGGTGACGGGCGAAATTGATGGGACAATTGCTCACATTGGTAGTCAGGACTTAATACCCCAAAGAGACCATCTTCATATTGATGCCATAATAACTGCCATATTACAAGCCTTACAAAAGGCTGGCTCGCCCGCTATTCATTATACGCTAGCTCTGCAATGGCAAATATTACGACCGATAGCTTTTAAGTTGTTAGACCTTTCCCCCGATCATCCTCATAGAGCCCTAATGCATTTTAATAATGTGGACCGTCAATACAACATTCAAGTACAATATTAAATGAGCACATTAGTGTAATAAGAACGTTATAAAGTAATACAGCCACATGTTACATTTAACTTTCGACAACACTTTCATAAAATACCTAACTAATATGTGAGGTTGGGTTGGCTTGGGTTGGATTTGTTTGGTTGAGTTGGGTTGGGTTGAGTTGGGTTGGGTTGGGTTGGGTTGGGTTTGGGTTGGGTTGGGTTGGGTTGTGATGGGTTGGGTTGGGTTGGATTGAGTTGGGTTGGGTTGAGTTTGTTTCTGCATTCAATAGGGGACGTTGAACAATAGAGGACAATAGGGTCCCCAATTCCCGAATGGTCCCCGATTTGGCTTCATGTACAAACCATATGGGAGGTCACCCTATAAAGTACAAACAAAAGAGGAACAATAGGGGCTCCCCGATTGCAGGCAAATTACACACTTGTATGGATTTGGTTGGGTTCAGTGTCCGTATTTTCTCCACTATGGCCTGTGTCCAGTTCTGTCCCATTTCACAGAACGTATCACATATGACACCAATTAAATTTCAAAGAAGACTTTTCGAAACCTAACTGTTGAAGTTTTAGCCCAGTGGATGTTACACTCTTCGACCAAAAAAATTAAAAAACGAACACCAAGTTTTGATCACGATTTCACAGCACTCTAGATGTATTTCCCAAAATTGGCCAATTGACTGTTGTAAATTACTGTAATTTTTAAATTTCTTTTTAATGAGTAATTTCACTGCAGGATGTTTGGTATCAGTATGATCTTTAATGCAATACATTGAAAGTAAGCATTTTAATTAAAATCGGGAAAGGTTACTTTTGGAATAAACGCCAATGATCAATGCGCCTTGAATTAAGGTAGCTTAAACACCAGTTGGGACTTCCCACGAAGTCCAGCTTAGCGTCTTCGGAAAAGTAAGGCCTACAGGCACTTTTTCTATTCTCGGCAGCAAGGCTTGGGGTGCCGCTTCGTTTCCACCCTTTTATGGTGCATGACCCTTCGGGTTAATATGGATGGACAGGCAAGGAGGTGTAGCAGAGTTCTTGTGGGAGTCGGTAATGGGTTCATTGAGTTAAATTATATAAGCCCGTACCCCTGAACAGTGGCGTCGCCGCCAAGGGGGGGGGGGGGGCACGTGCCCCCCCCCCCTGGAAAACCTAGTGCCCCCCGAGTGCCCCCCCCCCATCAAATGCTGGTGCCCCCCTATCCTCTGCAAAATTCTGCGCGTTGTTAAAATCATTACCTCAAAAATAGCAATTTCTTGAGATATCTTCAGATCGAATTTAGCATCAAATGTGGCACCATTTTGCATCTAGCCCATCCTCCGTATAATTTTCCAAAGGGGAGGGGGGCACCCCCTCCCCTTAGACCCCTCCCCCATGACGGCGATCCGTATCCACCTAAGTGCCCCC